GCCGCCATAAATGGTTTATTGGAATTGAACCCAGGTTCTTTGTAAGAGCAACAAGTTCTTGTAACCACTGATCCATCTTTATAGCTCCCCCCAGAGGCAGGCTTAAAAATATTTTTGGGATAGGGTCTTTCTCATGTAGTCCAGGTTAGCATTGAACTTGCCATGTGGTCACAGATGATTTTTGATCTTCTTGTCACCACCTCTCAAGTGATGAGATTACAGGCACATATCACACCTTGTTTTATATGTTGCTAAGGATTAATCCCAGAGCTTCATGCATGTTAAGCAAGCCCTTTACCAACTGAGGCATGTCACTTGCTAAACATTAGCTTTTCAAGTTTATTTACATTCATTTAGTATGTGTGCAACAAATAGAGCTCACAGGAAAATTTGAGAATCAATTCTAAGCATTGAACTCAGGTCATAAGGATTGATAGCAAGCATATTAATGTTGAGCCACTTCATTAGCCACAAACATTTTTAGTCTTATAAGAAACTGCCATAATGTTTTCAGAGGAAGTATCATTATATTAATGCCAATAGTATCTGAATGCATTCTTCACCTCCTTACTTAAATTAAGTCTTGTCATTTTTATTTTATTTTAGCCATTTTTATAAGTGTGTAGTTATTTTAATGTGGCATTAATTTGTATCTTTTGGATAGATAATTGCCTTGAATTCACAGCAATGCTCCTGCCTCATTGTCTTAATTCTGAGATTGCAAATATGCACCATGACACCTAGCTTCTTTTGCCCATTTTCTAAAATGACTTGTTAAGTTCCAAGAGTTCATTTTCTATTCTGTACACTAACTAATCTTCCATCATATATGCATAGTTAATTAATAACTTCTCATAGTTAATAGTTTGAGTTTTTAGTTTTCTTCACAAGAACTTGTAGACAGTAAGATTTTTAGTTTTGATGAGGCTTAATATATTCATGTTTTTATTTTAAGGATTTTGGTTTTTTGTTATTAAATCTAAGGAGTGTTTTGCTTAGCCCAGATACTGAAGATTTTATATTTATGCCTAGAATCCATATTTCAGTTTTTTAAAAGCACAAGCTTTAAGATTCCCTTTCTCCTTTTCCTCTTCTTCTACTGCCTCTCCTCCTCTACCTCTTCCTTGGGAATATTAGTATGGAACTGTTTATGGGTTGTCATTCTGTTACACTAATCCATGTGTTGATCTCTTCACAGATACTGTAATGTGGTAAGTCTTGATATCAGAGATTGACTGCTACCACTTCATTTTGCTTCTCCAATATTGCTTTAAAATTTTAGAATCAGTGACCTTCCTATGAATTTTAGAATAAGCTTGTATATGTGTACAGGAAACCTTGTCAGAATTTTGAAACTGTGGTAAAATTGTAAATCAGCTTTCCTAATTTATGCGTTAATTTGTCTACTAAATATAAAAGAAGTTAAATATAGTTGTAGAGCTCTTTAAGATTGCTTTAAGTAGAAAAATGAAACTATAATATTATTCTTTGTTGTGCTTTACTTCATAGCTTCCTGATGTCAAACAAATGGATGAAATCAGCTTCAGTGAGGTACAGCAGTGGTCATAATCTTCATTGTGTTCTTCAATATGCTTTATATAAACATGTATACATGCATATGCATATGCACATATACTGGACTTTATTCACTGGGAAATAATTATTTAATGTTCAATAACAACTTCTGGGGTAAAAGATGACCAGTTTTGCTAGTGTTGCCATGCATTACAAACTGCTTTCCCCCTTTATTTTCATTTCGAAAGCCATTCCTTGGAGTTTGGGGTTCAATTTACCAAACAATTGCTTGAGCTAATGATATTTCTCATCAAAAGTCTTGATTTATAATTGTGTCATGAGTAATTAATTGCTGTGGAGTAATCGTTTGAAATTGTGTTCAAGTAAGAACATGCAGATAGGATCTGATTTTTGTAGGAACATTTTAATAATAAAGATGGGAAAATGAAGTCTGGGAATTTGAATTTTAAACCAAATTATTCATAAGTAACATGGAATTACTGTTCTTTGCCAATGAGTCAAAGCAAATAAATAATAAAACATAAATGTTGAAAATCTTTTCCATAGTAGCCAGGCATTGGTGGTGCACGCCTTTAATCCCAGCACTCGGGAGGCAGAGGCAGGTGGATCTCTGTGAGTTCCAGGCCAGCCTGGTCTCCACAGCGAGTGCCAGGATAGGCTCCAAAGCTGCATAGAGAAACCTTGTCACGAAAAACCAAAAAAAAATCTTTTCCATAGAGTCATAGACAGATAAGGTTAAACATTTCAAGTGATTTAATTGTGAAAAATGAGCTTGCTATACAAAAATACAGATTTTGGATAGATTCCTTCATAAATAGCACTATTTAAGTTGGATGAGCATCTAACAAGGCCCAATAATTTCAGCCTGTTAACATATAGGAAAAAGGTATTTACATAAAACTGAATGATAACTGACATTACTGGTATTTCCTTCCGTACTTTGCTTCAGTATGCTGAATCTCCAAATGTGGAAAAAGAAGTGAAGAGACTGCTGTGCTCAGATGCTGAAGCAATCAGTGTCCGTATCCTTTACATCAAAGACTTGCCCTATAGTCTGTTTCATCTCATGTGCATGTTCTGACAAATCTCACCTCTGCTTGGTGGCTTTGCTTTTGTTTGAGATGTTGAAGATCAAATTCAGAGCCTTACTGTGCTAGGTAAACCCTGCAGCACTAAGCATCATGCTTAGTCCTCACATCAGGTTTGATGTGTATAGCTTACTATTTTTGAAATGTCATTTTTCTAGCTAAAAGTGGTAAATACAGACAATAGAAGTGTATTTATGTTCCATGCTGGTTTTCCAGTGATCAGTCTGGGGGCCAAGAGCTCCCCGTTGTTCAGGTCAGCTGTTTCTGTGGGTTTCACCAGCCTGGTCTTGACCCTTTTGCTCATCACTCCTCCCTCTATGCAACTGGATTCCAGTTCAGTTCAGTGTTTAGCTGTGGGTCTGCTTCTACTTCCATCAGCTGCTGGATGAAGGCTCTAGGATGGCATATAAGTTAGTTATTAATCTCATTATCAGGGGAGGGTGTTTAAGGTAGTCTCTCCACTGTTGTTTAGATGATTAGTTGGTGTCATCCTTGTAGATCTTTGGACATTTTTCTCCATTTTTAAATTTAAATTAGAAAAAAGATTGTTTTACATGTCAATCCCAGTTTCCTCTCCCTTCCCTCTCCCTGCCCCCCCCACTAATACCCTACCTATTCCATACCATTTCTGCTCCCCAGGGAGAGTGCGGTCTTCCATGGGGGGGTCTCCAGAGCCCATGAATGTGGGTGTCAGTGAGGAGGCCTCGGAAATCTATGGGGCCTCTTGTAGTAAATCACTACTTATCCCTAGCATAGGAATGGACTTTGGGAGTCCATTTCACATAGAGGGATACTCCCTCAGCCTAGAAACATGGGGGAGGGCCTAAGTCCTATCCCAAAGGATATGACAGACTCTGAAGACCCCCCCATGGAAGGCCTCACTCTTCCTGGGGAGCAGAAATGGTATGGGATAGGTAGCATGTTAGTGGGGGCAGGGGAGGAGGGGAGGGAGAGGGAACTCAGACTGACACGTAAAACCATCTTGTTTCTAATTTAAATACAAAAGTGAAGAAAAATAAAATTGGAGAAAAGAAAAATAGAAGTGTATTTATGTGTGTAACTTAAGGCAGTTCTCCACACTAAGAATGCAGATACAATTATCTAAATTTGACCTAAATTAAATATTAAGAGCACTTTTAGTTAAAGAGCCACTTCCCTTTCAACTGTGTATTCTCTTTACCTTCTGCTTTTTCCTTGACAACTATACTTTCAGGCTGGGAAGTCATTGCTGATGATGAAACCAAGGAAATAGAAAGTCAAGGGTTCGTCTCAGGCATTCCAGGAACCTCACAAATGAGTAGTCGTAGCTTATCAGGTACTTTATTGAAAATAGAGAAAGAGCTTCAGATAAGAGCAAGTGTTCTGTGTGATAGGTCCATAGACTCACAGACCAATCACAGAAAAAGGATACCTTTGTCCTTATTCCTCATTGGTCCTTGTTATTCTTTTGTTTAAGCTGCAGCTGCTAATATAGAAAGGAACAACGGATAAGCAATCCACGTGGAGTTTATTTATCAGAGAGGGGGGAAGGAGGGATGGGCAGTCAGCCAACCCTAGGGGAGCCGAGAGAAAGAGAGAGCGAGGGGTGTGGGGCAGGACCTTTTAAAGGGAAGGTTGCATATGCGCAGTAGTCGAAAGGCATGGTGGGTGAGTAAGTGCCTGGGTTGTTAGGGGGCGGGGTTAGGGTCATCCAGGTGTTTTGTTCTTACAATCCCGGCTGTTGTTTATTATAAAAGTTAGAGAATTGGGCGTGGCAGGTTAGGGAAGTAGGGGCGAAGATGTCTTAAGGCTGCTTCCTGCTGGCCTGGGGCGTT